GTTTGCGTTTTTGAAAGCACTTGAATGACTCCAGGATATGACACACAGTGGTCGCAGTGTCGGTTGAAAATCAAATGCTCCGCGCAAGGTTTGGGCGGCAAGAATTCCAAATCCACTCCTTCGAGTTTTACATAAACTGCAGTTGGGCGTTTTTTAAATAGTATTCTGGGGGTAATTTTGCTGGGAGGCGCTCAGCAAAAGTAATGTCGACAATTGTTGCAACGGTATCCTGAACAGCCCAGGGGGGTAAAACCGACGTAGTCAGCCGTACTTTTTGCCCAAAGTGCAATAAGTTTACGCCTGGCAGTTTTTTTGTGGTGGACAGGTTCGAAACACCAAGCAAATGCTTGAGATGATCAGGCTTGGTCAGGCCAATCTGCTGCAGGAACGAAAAATAGAGTTTGATTGGCTTCGCGGGCCGAGTGCCGTGCTTTAATAAAGGCAATCAAGGTAGTGATAGACCACAGGTAACAACTCTCATACCAGTCGCCGGTGGCTTGCACCAAAGCTTCTGGGGACTGGAAAGCAGCTTTGTCTTCTAGCCTAGTCTCCGACAAGTGGCTCCACTCTTGATCTGTCAGGCGCTCACCGCCGGGCGCCCGCATTTTGCGCAAAATGTTTTTTTGGATTTCGTCCTCAAATCTCATTGCTGTTTGAAGGACAAAGACTTGTGGAATTCGCGCGAACATAGCCAAAGCAGCTTTGTGTTCATGTCCTCCAACATCTGGCGTCGCAAGTAATGAAGAAGTTTTTGGGACAGGTGGAAGTTGTGAATGATCGCCTGAGAGAAGCATGAACGAGACACGGCCAAAGAGCTGTGTCGGCTGCGCGTACCGTGCCAAATCTAATTGGAATTGATCAGCTCGGATCGATGTGGCCCGCAAGGAAGCAGCGTGAAATAAAGTTGTTGGAACCTGTGACCACTCGTCTATGATCACAGCCCCCGCCCGCCCCAGGGTGTTTTGAAGTTTTTTTCTGTCTGCACGCCGTCGGACACACAAGTGGTAAGACTTTAAGCTATCGTTGGCACGGACACCAATTAGGTTATGTATTGTCTTACCGCCGATAATTCTGGCAGCCTTGTTGGAGGGAGCCGCCAGCTGCACATTGTGAGCCCCAAAATAAACATTCAGCAACGGTTCTAAGACCTGGACAATTACAGTGGTTTTTCCGCAGCCCCCGCCGCCGACAAGGAGAACACGAACCAGACCTAGGTCGACCGGCAAGGTGTACACAGATGTATCTTCTCGGTTTCGCCACGCAACTTCGAGTGGATTCACTAGAAGGGCCAACAAGTCCAGCTGCTCCTGGTTGAAAGGAAACTTATCAATGAGAGATTTGGCATACGCTGCAGGACCTTTCCACGCTAAAGGAACGTCAATTTCTGTGACTTGTGCCTCGTCGCGGTTGGCGTTCCTGTCAAAAAGCTCTTCCAGCTGTTGCGCAGCCATTTCAGGCGTAAGGTTCTCCGATGCTGGGCAACTTGTCGTGGCATCGGACTGAAGCATTTCTTTGCGGAGAAGTTTTGCTACAGCTGCCTGGTGCGATTTCGCGTTTTGTGGCAGGCAGTGCGTTGGTAAAATGGGTATTCTGTGTCGAAGTTCGCTGCTATCAGCAGGAGGTCCTACCATCATATGTTTGTAGATATCTGCAAATTGTTTGATGTGAAGATCTCCTTCTCTGTGCTTCCCAGGTTTTTTTGTTCGTTCAAGTTCCTGCTCACGTGAAAGAATTTGTATGCAGTCACTCAAGGTGAAAGACACTTTGGTTTGCGAATGCAACTCCTCATCGAAGCTATCTTCGTCATCTGGCGCCTCTCCGTCGAACGCTGGATTTTGCCCTTGGTCAGGAGAATGCTGGCCGTCACTTTCAGACACTTGCTCGTGCACCGGACCACTTTTTGTGCGCGCACTTCGTAGAGGCTTGGTTTGTGCGATTTGCTGTGACAGAAAGTTCTGGTAGTTTTGCTGGCTTTCGATTGCGGCAAACTCTTCCAGCGTCAGTTGATGCACATGTGCTCCAGATTGCACTCCCAAAATGTCGCACATGTTTTGGAACACGTAGCCCGGGAATTCCGAAAAAGAAGTGCGGCAAAGTTGCATCAAAGTTGCGCGCAACAACTGGGCATGCCTGTCATCCGCTCCTCCAGGGAGGCTTGCGTTCCACCAGCTTTTGGCAACAGTGGTGTCGAAAAGTACGGCGATTTTCTCGGCGGATGCTATTTTTTGTTGGGCTCGATTTGCTACCAAGTTTATCGCAGCTCTTCTAGCCTTCCAGTTTGCAACGAAGGAAAATTTTTGTTTGCCGATTTTTACGCGTGTGAGAGCAGGGCGGCAGTTTAGGGGGTCTGTGCAGCAGGTAAGGCCCTGGCACTTCATAGGCAAAAACAACATCGAAAAATATGCGGCATTAGCTTCTGCATCATCCAACGATGGCGGCTTCGGGCCGACACAATTCGGGGTACGGTGATCTGCAAAGCAAAACATTGGCAATACAACGCGTGCATTTGGTAGCGCGGGTCAAATTCAAACATGATTTCATGATCTTTGGGCTTCAGAGGTTTGCGAACACGACGTACTCGAGAAGCATAGACAAACAGGGGCATTGGAGCCAGCCATGGCCCTCGGTGAAGATAGTCGTCATGCAATGTTGTGGTGGTGCGTAATACAGTTTTGTCCCAATGTTGGTTGCGGTCTTTTTCCGCGTCCTGCTGTTCTTCATCCTCGACAGCCGTTTCTTCAGGATCTTCATTTGCAGAGTCCTCAGCCAAGCTAGCTCCGTCTTCAGAGTCTGAAGCATTCAATTCAACTGCAGCAATGGGGACGAAGTTGTCGTGCAGAAGAGGGCTCGGTGTATTTTCTAAGAGACGCCGTCATTGTTGCATCAAAAACCAAGGTCTTGAAAGAAAGAGGACAACTTCAGCATGAGTAGCCCAGCAGTGACCTGCGCACAGAATGGTGGTCGCCAACTCTGTCGAAGATACCCAGGTGCTGCGGTTCGCAGCCGCCGCAAGCCTGACAATCACCCGCTTGGCACGGTATTGGGGTGTCCAAACCTCAGCTTTGCTTTCTTCCTCCTCCAATCTTCTGAGGCCAACAGCAAATTGAGCCACTGCCGACTGCATTGCCTCCATGGGTTTTGTGCTGTATTTTGCGATGTAGTGGTCAGTATTGAAAGATGCGACGTGCAAAGCAATGACATTACGAGCAAACAAGCGCAGCTCGCGCGAATCATGTTTGCGCATGCTAGCGCGGCTCATGCCCATGACATGCCCAAGGCAGCTATCATCACAAACAAGTGTTATCTTATTGTCATCTTCATCAACTACAAACCCTCGGATTAGACATTTGAAGTCGCAATTGCAGCGGCAGGAAACCATTGTCACGTCTGAGGTTGCGGAACGAAATGGATGAGCCCGTTGCACTTGAACTAAGCCACTTTCGTTAGGATCCACAGAATCCAGTATATTCGTCTCTGACACTGGCATTTTCCCGCGACGGCGGAATGTTCTTCCAGAAATTTTAACTGTGTGATAAATGATAAAACGAAAACCGACAGTCGGGCGCACGGCTGGGCTTCAAGAGCTGCCTTTTTTCTTGCGCTGTTTTTTTGACGTGTTTCAAGCATGTTACACTGCACTCATGGTTGTGCGTGGCAATGTGCAAGAAACGAAAATCTTCAGCAAAGCGTTGCTCCCACCTATGGGCCTCTGCAAGAAAAGTGTCAAAGTTACAGGCATCTTCACCATCAGGGCAAGCAACCTTGGTAATGACGCCAGACTCATCACGATCTACGGAAAATGAAAGTGGGCCCTTCCAGGCTGCAGCCTGTGGAATTATACAAGGCAACTTGTATTCTGGCAGCGTGCTCAATTCGGCACCTGTCAATGACACCTCTTTGAAGAAATTTGCTGGTGGGCGTTGCTGCTGCTCGCTTGCAGCGATTTCGCGCTCCACGTGCTTCAAGCGTTCTGCCGCCGCAACAGGCAACAACAATCTTTGAGTGATCTCATCAGCTTCTAGTCCGCCATTAAATTTTGTTTGTTTTTGCTGAAGAGCACTGAATGGTTCTGGCTTCATTTTGATGCCAGCTTGTTCACCCACCAAGGTCGACTTCTCGTACTGCAATGTGTTGACTTGGGAGATCAGCTTTGCATTGTGCTGCAGCATTTTGGCACGCAAACTTTTCGGGGACAAGTCACCATCTTGAATTTGCATGCTTGCAAGAAACCCAGGAATTGCGCGGACCAAACGGTGTCCATGCTGAAACCCTCGCCCTTGGGCTTCAAGAGCTTCAAGGATCGCCAACGCAAATCCAGCAACGCCAGGAACACTGCTAGAAGCAAAGAAGCAAAGTCGTCTTCGATACTCGATTGGCCTACGGCTCTGGCTAGTTTGTAGATGCCCAGACCAATGGAATCAACACCATATATATGTCTAAAATTTAGCTCTTCCATGAGCAAGAAAAACTTTGCAGTACAAGCTGGATGAGCCACAGTCAGTTCGTGCATTTTTTGGAGAGGCGGCATCTCGGGCGTGTCTTTCAAAAACTCAGGGCCAAGATTTTCACAAAGTTGACGCATCAGTGGGTTGTAGGTGTCACCATAATTATGTGTGCAAAACACAGTGGTTGGTCCGAAACAATGAGTCAGCGATTGCCCAAAATGCCTTAGCCGTACTTTGTACCCCTCTGTCAAAGGCACGGTGGCGGTTGAAAACAACATATGCCGCAGAGCTGCTCGAACTTTTGGAGGCGTTGCTGCATTTTGTATTATTTGTCCGACGCTATTGCCGCACATCTCTCCTGCAGCTGCGGCCAGAAAATCGGTTGTTTGCGAAGAAGCAATTTTCTTCAAGTCCTTCTCGAAGCCTTGCCTCTGAAACGACGCGTTTACTGCTTGCAGTGTTTTCATTTTCCGAAGAATGTCTCCAAAAAGGGCAGCGAATTCTGGTGAATCAAAACGAGAAACTGCACGGGCTTGGTACGGCTCAACATCATCAGAACAAGAATACTCCATCTCTTCGCGCTGCATCAGTGCAGAAAACAAGCTTTGGTATGTCACTGTGGAATTTGGGCGTCCCGAGAGGCCAGGCACTGCGTCTCCATAGTAAAACTCGACAAAGCAGCTTGGAAAGCTTCTGGGGTCAAAGGAGCTCAAGACTGTCGTTGTTGGCACTGCCAAAGAGTCGATGTGTATTTGACCACCCTTTTCGAAAAAATCAGCAGTCACCGAGGTCTGGAGCAAACTTGCTGCCACGTCGTCCAAATTTTTGGTTTCTTTCAATAGTTTCCTCATCATGTCTTGTAAATCGATCACAAGGCGTTGACAAGTTTCTTGCTGACCTACTTGTCGCACAGTGGCTGAAACGTTTTCCCAAGCACCACTTTGGTTGGTCTTAACTTTTGCAACTTCTTTTTGAAGACGTTCCAATTTTTTTGCATCGCTTGAAAAAGTTGGGCCGGTTTCGGGTCTTGCTCGTAATCAATGGCAATCATAAATTCAGGGCTTTTTTGAGATTCATGAGTGGCACGCTCATGGCCTTCATCTGCGCAGGCCGGCGCATCGTCATGGACAGATTCATCATCAGCTCGCGCAACCTCGTGGTCATCATCAGACTCTTCAGCAATGTTGCCATCGGTATTGGACGGAGGCGCTGTCACGGGCAGGTCGCCCGGCCCTTGCACACGCTACAAAAATGTTGATTCCGGAAGATGTATGGCGTGTTCGATAAATTCGTTTGGAACCCCTTCGACTGGCAGCTTCTGAACGGCATCTTGATCAATATCGGTGTCAAAAAACACAGGGCAATGTTTCTTTCTCAAGCGCAAGCAGTCCACAAACTCTGCGCGGTTGACGGTTAACGCCTTACAGGTTTTGACTTCCTCGACACTTCTTGTGAAAACAATCACCAATTGATCCAAGACTTTGTTCAAAGATGGTAAGATCTGTGTAGTCTTTGCTTCGGCCTGCGCTAGAAGAATGGTGTTGCCCACCAAGCCTTTGTAGGACTCCTTGGCCGTCGAAGGCCCTAAGAAAATCTGCCGCATGACGGGACGGCCTTTGCCGAGGAGCAATTTGGTACCCAAAGTCAGTTTTTGGTAAAGGGGTTGCTCACGCCCTAACCAATTCATGTTAGACAAAGCCAACGGTGCCATTGTTGGGCCAGAAACTTGACAAAAATGTTCCAGGCATGTTTTGCAGGCAAACAAGTTTCGTCCTTTTTGCCAACGCCTGCACACATCACGTTTCCCGACGCTTGGCAAGGAATTTTTGGAACCCTTCTGCAATGGAGAAGCCAATGCATATTTGCGTGATCCGGATGTCGAACTGCTGAAGCGTAGAGTTCTTGCAAGGGTATGTGCGGTTGTAACTTTGAGTATGCTTCCACTGCAAGTAGCGCATTCACTTTTTCTGCCGGCCCAACACAAAACTTGCCGTCAGCAGTAAACAGCAACAACCCTTGATCGCGCGCGTTCGTTTCTTTCTGCTGGTTGTAAAAATGCTGCTTCCATGACATGGAGCCTGTGGGTTCTTGAAACAAAAAAGACTTCGAATCTATTTCCGGGATAGTCACGAACACAGCAAAACACACAAGCATGCAAAGATCGTGGCTGAGCATGGTCAAATGTACCTGCCAACCATTCATTATGATGTCCTGGCGTGGCATATCTTTGAAAGAATGCAAAATTTTGAATCAGACTTCTTTTGACCCAAGGTTGCATTGGTTGAAAGTTTGCTTGCTGTGCCTTAAAAAAGACCTTTTTGCGGTACTCTGCAAAGTTAGCATGTTTGTCGTCACAATGCTTGCGGAGCGCATCCATGCTAACAAGTGATGCGTGGCACAACTGGCATGTCACAGGCGCTGGGGCAAAGGCAGCTGAAGGCGTGGTCGAATCAGGCTGTAAGTCTGTGATGTGCGCTGGTAAGGCGTGCGCTGCCAACTTGTCTTTGCAAAAAATGGCATCTCCCGGTATGTATGTCCTTCGTTTTTGGAAAAAAGGCGTCCACGCAGGTATTTTGTTCATGCGAGAGAGGCCGGCCACGATTTTCGAATGATACACACAAATGCTGCAAAGTAGCAGGGTGTCGATGTTTTCCGGCTGCAAAGAATGCTCTTGTAAAAATTCAAACGCTGCGGTAACCAAAGTCGAAATGCGATTTTCCACGCTGTCTTCTGGGCCAACATGTGGAAATAGAAAGCGCCTATTTGCATGGAGATTGAAAGTGGAATGCGAATATGCAAGCAAATTGTTTGTAACTACCTGCTTTGCCGCTGTAACACTTTCACTTTTATTTAGGTGAGCTCGGCCCATGCGGTTCTGTATGACCAAGTTGAAGACTTCGGACAAATTCAACGGCAAATCGCAATAGTGAAGATCCTGGAGCTCAATTAAAGCCAAATGCCGAAAAAACTGCGAAGCTGAGGGACGCAAAAATGGACATGTACTTGGCCAGCATCCGAACAAACATTCTGGCCGCTCTTCTCTCAAAAGTTTTCCTAGGTCTGCCAGGTTGGTCGGAATCAAAGAACCATACAGAGCTTGGTTTTGAGCACACGGTGCTTCCATGAGAAAAGCACTAAGTTCGAAGTGCAAAAATTCTGTTGCCCATCTTGTTCGTGCACTGTTAAGGGTGGAAATACGGTTGCTCAAATGAGCATCTTTCCACCAAGCTTTGTCCTGTTGCATTTTTTGGGGTAACCCGCGCTTGGTACAAGAGTTGGCAGCAATAAAACAACGTTTGCGCAGTTGAGCTTCAGCAGGGTCATCATCGGAACTTTGCAAAAAGACTTGCTTGCCACCAATATTTGTTGCGTTGTTGGTTCTGATAGACGCCGCCGCTTGGAAACACGCCTGGGTTAGGAGGATCGGTCTCCACTGGATCAACAACTTGCTCGTGTGGCGGCTTCATTGCTTTGAGTTGTTCCAACACGTTTTGTTGTGACATCGCGGTGCCTGCTGCCCTTTGTTTTTTCGAAGGTGGCTTCATAGCTTCGCAAGATGTGCGCTTTTTGTTTGCCATCGTTTTTGCTTCTGCGGTGCAAGCTGGCTCAGAAACAGCAGGCGCTCTAACGTGTGCGCCAGATCTCCCCGTAGAAGGTTCTCCAAACGAACTGCCCGAAGCATTGTGTTGCCCCACCGGCTGTGTCGCGCTTTCGAAGATGCGTTGCAGATTTTCCTTTTGCTTTCCAGAAGGCATGTTCTGCAAAAGGAAAGACCATTGTTGCGAAGTATCTAAACCTGCAATCCAGCTGTAGCGCTTGTCATTCATTCCTTCTGTCATTGTGTTTTCGACCACACCCAGTGTTAAAAGTGCTTCCACGACAGCATTCGGTACCATGATTTTGTGATCAAAAACATTGCCCGGCCGCACTAGAAAGGAAAAACCTTGAGTCAAGCCTGGCTTGGGGTTCCTTTCTTCAACATTTGCTAGTTCGTTTCTTACCGTGGGCGAGGTTGTCAAACAGGCGGTATTTACCATGTTCACAAATGTGTTCAAACACGCTTCTTTGCAGTCTGAAACATTGGTTCGCGGTAGCGCCCATTTGCTCGCAAGTTTTCGCCAGCTGTTCACATCGCCTCTTTCCGCCTTTTTGGTAAACAAGTAGCAAAACTCCTCCAAGTTTTTCTGTTGAGGATGCGTTTGGAAATGTGCTTGGTTCTGGTTCATCAATGTCTGCGCTGCTGCAAAGCGGTCTTGCTCAATCATGCTTTGACTTGCAGGCTGCAGCTGGCGGTGATCTTCCGTCAGGACAGGCTGCTCAGCAGCAACGTTGTCTGCCCTATGAGTTACTACGTTTGTGGAAGTCAATGTAGCCATGTGTTCACGGACGAATCGCAAAAACCTCTGCAAACACTGTTCTTTCATTTCGTCCAACTTCTGCCTAGGAAGCGCCCACGCGGTGGCAAGCTTTTTCCACATATCTGCATCCCCCCTTGTGGGACTCTTACTGCGAAGGCGGCAAAATGTCTGCATGTTTTGCCACTGCGTATGTGATTCGAAATGCAATCTGTGCGCGCTCAACGCCCTTTCCGCTTCTTCACAAGTGAGAATGTCGGCGACACCGCCGCGCAGAGGATTAACCACCACTCGGAACATTGAATGTTTAGGCATGTTGCGCACAAGCGTTTGCATGGACATGCAAGTTCCATCGACTAAGAGCTGGCTTTGGTCTAGTAAAAATACTGGAATGCGTGTAGATAACACCGCATAGAC